CCGGTTTAGTCATTCTACCAATTTTAGTTCTCTAGAAAAGTTCCAATATACTTTTGACTGCAGTGCTTGGAAATATGTTGGAGTCACGGTAGTATGTGTTAATTAAATCGCCAAAGAGGAGCATACCTTATGGATGAAACTCCTTAAAATAATAAACACAACTTCAGTGATTATCAGAAATAAATTGTATTGGAATATTATTTACAGAGGGCTGTGGTTATGGCCAAACTTGGGGTGGTAATAAAAATGTTCATGAAAAGGGAACATTGAAATAATGAAGAATAAATTATGATCTCTGTGAATGTTCTGTAATGACTTCATCAGAACAAACATTCAGAATCACGGTAGTCCTAACCGCACTTGAAACGGCAATAATGCAGTTATTACATCTAAGGTCATACAAACTACTGGGCTAATTTGTCAACAAATAAACATATATACCTACAGGCGGAAATCTCTCGACCTCTCGACCTCAGGTCAATTGTTGGCGTTTAAATCTTACTTCATATCCCAACTTTGCTAAAACTTTAGCAATAGAAACTGACCGTATGCTCTTAACTGAAAATCCCTCAGTTACTTGAACATTCTTACATGTACACGTCATCTTTCTATTTCTTCCGATTTCTCCAGTGACTCTTGCAACAGCTGAAAGTTCATTGTTTGATCTGAAATTTACTGAAAACTGTGTTGGGTTTGAGCTTATCACGGCAATAACTATGAAGAGTTCTATCTTTTGGGACATAGACCAGTGACTTTCACCAGACTACATAGTGCTATATCCCATAAGATAGAACTCTTAACTAAGAATTGCCTTCCACGCACTATGGCATAAGAACGATGCAGTGACATGGCTCCTCTGTTTAACTAATAAGCTCATACACTTTCCTTAGACATATTGGCTGCTCTTGATGTACGTTTTTGCCAAGGGAAATGTTTGGCGTACCAACATACAATAAGTCTGAAGTTACATGCTCATGCGATTTTCTTTATATTGTTTCATATTTATTTGTGCAGAAGGGAGGGATAAGAAAAAAGTTTATCAGATTTTGAATGTCCTTAAAAAGTGGAGTGCTGTTCCTTGTTAGTGCTTGTCTTTAAATCAGTGACTTCCAAGCTTAGGAGAGGGGAAGGGGGCGAAGAGAAGGAAAAAATATACAAATTCAGCTTAAACACTCAATTATTTTGCTGCACTAGATGAAGATGAGTGGTCAGCTTCGCACCCCGAATATATATGAGCTGCTGGATATCAAGGTTTGTCTGCATTATTCTTAGCGAAATAAAGACCGCCGTGCATCATTTTTTGTTTTAAAATTGTAATTGTTATAATTTTGTACGGCTGTAATATCTTCTGGGACATAACGTCGTGTAGTCCTTTGAAGGTCAACCGACGTTTCGGAGAAACATGTCGTCTCCATTGCCGCCATCTCAGAAGATGGTACGACCCTTCAATATTTCATTATCTATTTGTTACTGCAGCGATAGCAGCTTTGGCGTTGTTATCACTTCAGGCATTATTTAAGGGAGCTTTCATGTTTTCAAGTAGAACTTGCGAACTGGAATTGTCACGAAAAGTTGAAACCCACGAAAATTTGCTGCTGTCCTTAGAAGTAAATACTGATGTGTCACATGCTTGACTTGGAGCGCCAACACAGAGAATGAAGCATCTACTCATTGCATTAAAAACAAAACATCGCAGTCAGCAGAAAATAGACAATGACTTGTGCTGTGCTCTCTCGTCTCATTAAATCAATTTTATTTTTACTACAGTTTATTGCTGTTTTAGTTTCCTTTGAAAACCTGTGAATACTGTGATGTCAGCCTAACGCGCCGGCCGCCCTTTACCCCACCAGGAAGGTTCCTGGTACTCATTACTGTTAGAGGCTGAGTCCACCCCCAAGGCCATAGTGCGGCTGGAAAGATTAGGTCAATTGGAAAAATCCGGCTTGTAGCATAGTGCCTCAACCAACTACGCTACCGCGTGCCTCGAGTTTCTTTAAAGTATTATCGTGGTAAAGATAGTTTTGTTTTATTTCTAGTTCTGTAAGAATTATCAATTGTGTTTTTGTCTCGTGAGACGGTAGCGATCTCTGGTTTATAAATATGTTTTCCAATATTTGTAGCGTATTTATTTTTCAATTTTAATAAATCTCATTCCATCATAAATTTTCAGATATATATACATTTTTTTAATGCATATACCGAGCAGTTATTCTATAACAAGCCATAAATATTATACATGCTTCCTATATCATTAATTTCATGTAAAGGTCTGATGATGGTATTCGAAACAGCCAATCGATATTTAAGGTATAAAAGTTATATGTTGGAAATGAATATATACTATTTCTGTAATCAAACGCATCGGAACGCTGCAATTGAAATAATCTCTTTAAGATCCACCGTAAGCAGATCTAAAGGAAACAAGCTATGAAATAAATTGATGTGGCTCAGGATATGATTCAGAGGTAAGATTTTATGACTACAGTAACGAACCTTCGCATCTCATGAAAATGGAATGTCTACTCTTAAAGGATGGTTCTGTGGCGTGTTAATGGATATGTGAGTTACTACGACTACTTTATGGTCTTCAAATTCGTTAGTTAATTCGCGCTGTTTTACTTTCTTCGTTGTTTCGGTCAGTTTTTAGCACTTTGTGTACTGGACTGATTGATGGCTTTCTAGATATGTCACGCTCTTCTAACAATTAATTGATCATACAAAATATTATGACAGTTCCCTAGTTTCATAAATTTTCAAGCAGCTAAGACAAGATAGCGCATCGTTTGCTCGCAATCTCTTACTCTCAAATCAAGTAAGAAATATGAATATCACGCCTGCTAGCTTAATTTATATAATGCACAGTTATGAGGTCCTGTAATAACTGTAGTAGCTATACTGAATTAAATCAGTAATCTTGAGAAGAGCTTAAAGTAGAGCTTAAAAGTCAATTACATCAGAATTCTGTGCCAATCGCAGCCAGAAATGTAATCCCAATCTAAACAAATCATATAGAATTAATAGTTAATTTAAATACCACCGAACAGCATAAATTAAAACTTGTATTTTGAAGAAACTTTCAACATTGCGGTGCCCTCTGTCTGTAGGAGCTCTATACGAGTAACCTGTTAGGAGTACGACGCTTCCAAATGAAACCTACAAGGTAGAAGTGTCAAATGCCAGTCTTCCAAAACGGCCCAAATCCATTACAAATCTTAAAATTAACAGAAAATCACTTGTTGGTTGCCTGCCAATGATAAAAGTCCAACGTGACTTACTAAAAATATAGAAAGTAAAGCTATCCCTGTAACAGACTGTGGAGGCCCATAGGGTTGTGAGACGTCGAGGCTCCCACGTTTTCTAGACAGTTGGCTCAGAGATGGCGATAAGGTTGTCAGCTTTACGCACCAACTGCCCTTTGCCCCCAAAGAAATTTTCTGGTACTCATTTCTACTACAGGCTGAGTCAAACGTAGGGCCATAGTGCGGCTGGAGTCCGGCCCGAATACAACGCAATATGCGGAGAATGTCTGTCGAGTTCTTTGCGCGGTGTGGAGAGTTGCCGGTATGAGAGCCCCTTGGGCCCCCCAGTTGTTTGTTCAACTGATAAGTGGGGACCCAATTGTGCTCACAATAGATCTCAAGGAAACCACCTTGTTTGTGGATCTTCGGCAACTCCATACAGTCTCGGCGGCCTGGAACCCTGAGGCTGAAGTTGCTGACATGCTTCCTCAAAAATGAGGATTATTTTCTGGAGAAGCATGAGCTTGTGCTTCTACATGAAGCGGCATAACAGAAGATAGTACATTTCATAACCACAGGTGTGAGAACCTCAAATTCTACATGCCTTTTCATGGCAGATGGTAATTTAACAAAAAAAAATTAATTTTCTCAAATGTATCGTATTTTGATAAAAAGAAGTCACTAAGAAATGTTGGCATGTGTGAGTAGTAAGTACAAATGCCGCTGCTGTATATGGAACAGCACATATACTTCAGAACTTGGCAGCGATCACAATGCTGCACCACAGCTGAAAGCAAGGACTGTTGCCAACTCCCAAATAATTCTCGAGTGTCTCACGTGTAATTGTATCTTTCGTTTTCGGGCATACCGGTCTGACGAGATACAATTAGTTGTTTGCTACCTCCAGAGTTTTACAGAATGTTGTGTATACCTCGTGGGTGATTTCTTTTTCTCAGTAACTGAAGGCCCCCAGATTGCGAGTCCTTCACCTAGCTCATTTAGTTTAAGTCCGGCATCACATTTTCGCTGTACACATTCTCTCGTACTACTGCAAAAGTCAGGAGGGCGCAGTCGGTACAGGGATTGGCTACGGGCTGAACGACAGAGTAGTTGGATTTCGAGTTCCGGGACGACCAAGAATTTTCACTTCTCCATGTCGTCTAGACCGACTCTGTGGCCCACCCAGGCTCCTATCTAACGGATAACGTGGGGGGAGGTAAAGCGGCCTGGGCGTGAAGCTGACCACTTTCCTCCAATTAGTGCCAAAGTCAAAACGTGGGTCTATACATCCACTCCCCATATGTCTTTATGGCATAGTGCTTAATTAGCTAAGCACAAGGGCAAATTTACCTTACCTAATATGTAACGACGATAAAAGTGAAGTGAGATACAAAATCTCAGGAGGTGCAGATGTGCTAAAGATAAATTTGACCCTGCGATTAATTAAGCATCACTCCAAAGAAACGTATGGAGAATAGAGGTACAGCTCCACTCATTAATAACCTCTGCACCAGGTGGAAGTGAGCGGTCAGCTTCGCGCTCCGGCCTGTCTTCCTCCAAGGAAAAGAGCTTCCGGTACGCGTTTCAAGACTAGCCTCATATATAGAGAAATGTGGACTATAGATGGCAGAATATGACTTTGTTCTATCCAACACGAATGGGAAATGGTTGCAATTGGTTCCACAACATGTTCGAAGATGGCGCCACAACTAGGAAGCACAGTAGTGAACTCTGTAAATAAATTTATTTACGAAATTGCAAATGTCAGGAGGTTTGAGGCGGGCTCGGTAATTGATGGGTGGGAAACGCGTACTGGGTGGACACCCTCGCTCTCGAAGTTGCTTTTATTCGTAGACATAACTAGACATGTCAAAAACAAACACAGGCGCTGGAGTCAGTGATACCAGTAAATTGGTACAAAAGTTATGTTATCATCTGTCAGGAAAAAAGAAAGGTGAGTGAACGTTCTCAAGTTTCAAACATCAATTGCAACTAGCAGTAAATGAACAGTATTGTAAACATCAGTTATTTCTGACAAAATATTTTATTGTATTATCCAGTTATTTGATTCAGTAGCATCTTATAAGTGGTAATTTTGAGTATAAGAGTAAGTCGGCTTGCCCAGGCGAAGATTTTAATCTTATTCGTTGTGCAAATTTAGTGCCATGATATCAAGAAAGTTTAGGATGCTGTATGTCAGTACCCCCCAGACTGGTATATCTCAAACAGATAATTGGGATAATGAGATATAAGAAATATGGTAACGTAAAAGGTGAAGCCCCTGTGCTAGATTAATTATGCACCATGCCATGAAGATATGATGTGTGGGGGGTGGGGGGACCTCTAGCTCCACCATTCGTGAGTTCGGCACTAGATGGAGGTGAGTGATCAGCTTAATGTCCCAACTACATAACCCCCCCCAGAGAGAGCCGTGGTACCCATTGGATAGAAGGATGGGTGGGCACCAGATCTGTCCTGGACATTGTGGAGAAGAGAAAAATCTCTTTCCCCTGCCAAGAATCGAACCTCAGTCATCCAGCCCATAGTCCATCACTGTGCCAACTGAGCTACCCCAGCTTATAAAGAAATATGTGCAATAGTTTTCAAATATCTGCCTAGCCTTAGTGGGCCTTCACATTGCCAGGACCAGTCACAACTTTTTTGCTTGCAAGATGTTTGGACATAATTTAAAGTTAAAACAACTGTTTCGCTTGTGTTTGGCTTAACTTGTGGGCCTGTATTTCTTCTCCATATCTTAGCTGAGTATTCATTTTTTACTGGACCCAGTGAGCATAAATGAAACATGATTCTTTGACAAGATTAATGAAAGATGATTTCATTTCATGTCTCTTGTGGAAGTGGGCTAGAATACCTCCACCATAGTCCTTCGAGTCATACCTGTAGAAGGCAACAAAAAGGCAATCTGGTGCCTGGGCATGTAACTGGGTGACCCTGTCACTGGGAGACTTAAATATCTGGTCCTCCAGGTGGTCAAATTCATGACAACCTGAAAAACTAAGTAAGGACTTCAAAATATAGACCCAGAGCACTTAAAATGTTACTGAGGGAGATGGAATCAACAGAGATGTTAAAGCTCTAGGGAAGAGAAATTGGAAAAACAGCCAGAAATAGACAGGTCTGTCAAAATCTTCTAAGGAAGGCTATGGCTCAAGAAGGGTTGTTTTACCAACAGTGGTTCTGTTGGTGGTGGTGGTGGTGATTATGATGAGGAGGACAAGGATGATGTCATGTAAGCATATGAGATTCAAATACATGGTCCCCATAATCTGAGGTTGTTCCCACAGGCATTTATGAATATGTATTTTCTTTTATTTACGCCTGGGTTATCATTTGAATAATGACAACATATTGTGTCACTCTTACATTCAGTAGAGTATGTTTCAACTGAATATTCTTTCCTGTCACAAATAATGTGCTGTGTCAAAATGTATAGTTAGTATATAAAGCCAAAATTCGTGTTTTAAGTAAGCAAATACTCAGAAAAAACAAAAAATCTTCATCTTCTTTTTTGGTCATGGGCCATCCCATAATGTAGCATGTGCTGTCCATAGACTGCCATTTTTCTCCATTGGCTGCATCAAAACCCGTTTGACTGGTAAGACGTGTATAGCACAAGATGCAGGCCCACGCTAAAGAATGTTGCACCACTGCACCCTCACATTGCATATTGTTCTGTACTCAGTGATTAAGGTCAAGACTGCTTCAACTGCCTCTGTGGTCTAGTGGTCAGAGTTCCTGACTACAGATGCAGAGGACCCAGGTTCGATTCCCGGCGCTACCAGATTTTTTCTGAGAAGTAGTGGGTGTGGAACAGGGTCCACTCAGCCTCGTGAGGATAATTGAGGAGCTATTTCAAGGAAATAGCAGTTCCGGTCTAGAAACCCGAAATTAACAGCCGTGGGGATTTGTTGCGCTGACCATGTGACACCCTCTATCCGCAAAAGTTGGCACTAACTTTGCCGACAAGCGGCGGTCACTCAGTCAGTATGGTTCGCTTGCAGACTACAGGCCATGGAGTTTTTTTCTGCCTCAATATCTGATTTGTTCCCTCATCTGTGCATTAGTCTGACAGTGGCCTTTTGGATGGTTTCCCCACCAAGATGATATATATTTCATATATATTATTGGCAACAGAGGGTGGCTCCTTTGCCATATGTAATGTAGTAAGTATAAATATGTTACATCACAGGGTCCCAAATTAACACTTGTACACTTCTGGCAATGTGAAACTTTGACAGGGCACTGAAACAAAGACTGTGGGTATAAAAAAGATAAAACAGGTCAGGTACCCTTTTGTTTAGAACTTAATGGTTGGGATACAAACAATGGTTGCTTACACAAACACTTTCCCGCAGTACATTCATGACGGCACATAGAAAACTGCTAGATCTCCTGTTTGCTTCATACAATATTTATACTGGCTGTAGTTCAACGGACAACGGTCATTTTGGAAATGAGCTATGTCCAGAAGTTCATTTCCTGACTTTTGACACAGGAACAGAAATAAAACTGCTTGTTCGTGGGTTTTGACTTTCTGGAATGCACAGAAACTGATGAAAGTTGTTAAAAAATATCGAAGAAGATTATGAATCATGGTCTGTAGTTATGACCCCAAACTTAAGAGCAGCCATCATATGGAAATCTTCCTTGCCACAACCTTATGAACTAGAAAGCACTTCACATGCACAGCAAAGTCAAAGTGATGCTCATTGTTCTTCTCAGTTACAAGAATATTAGATGCACTACAAGATCATACTGTTAACCTATGTTTCTATGTACAAGTTTGACTCTCTCCTGATGCAGTGGATCATAAGCAGCCTTAAAAGTAGAAATCAAGCTAGTAGCAGATTCACCATGACAGAGCACCTGCCTCTTCTGTCCATCTTGAACAGCAGTTTGTAGCTGTACGCATTATTTCTTAAATAGGACAGCTTTTCTTCTCACCAACTATGGTCTCCCTGAGACTTTTTCTGTTCCCTAAAGTACGGGTTTGGGAACAGGGTTCTGAGGAGAATGTTTGGACCAGAGGGATGAAAGAGGAGGAAGATAGAGAGCTTCATAACTTGTACACTTCACCAAATATAATGAGAATGATTAGGCCAAGGAGAATGAGGTGGATAGGACATGTAGTGTGCATGGGGGAGGAGAAAAGGAATGCATATAGGATTTTAGTGGGAAAACCAGACTGTGAAACTCCACTACGAAAACCTAGATGTAGGTGGGTTGATAATATTAAAATGGATCTTAGAGAGATAGGATGGGGTGGTCTGGACTGGATTGATACCTAGCTGAGGATAGGGACCAGTGGAGGGCTCTTGTGAATATGGTAATGAACCTTCAGGTTCCATAAAATGGTGGGAAATTCTTGAGTAGCTGAACAATTGACTGCTTCTCAAAAAGGTCTCAGATGCATGGAGTTAATTAGTTAATAATGTTTAATGTTTAGCTTTCAATATGATGGTGATTACTACTAGTCATTGGTTCTAGGCACATGAAGTTTCGTATGTAGAAGAATTATAAACATCCATACAAGTTGTGAGTGAAGCTATTTCCATGTATGAAAAATTACCAACATGCCATTGGTGCTGACATTTGAGGTTATATATAAGAAATTTAATGTCAGCCTTTATTCGTACTGTAATTATGTATGAAATAAATCACTAAACTGTATAATTATTAGGAGCCTGTATAGCATAGCGACTAGCTACAAGCTGGACGATTGAGGGATCAGAGTTCTAGTTCAATAGGGTCAGGAATTTTCTGTTCTCCATGTTGTCCGGACTGGCTCTGGGGTCCACCCAACCACCTATCTAATGGGCACTGGAGGCTCTTTCGCTGGGGGTAAAGTGGGAGGGGCATGAAGCTGACTACTCACCTCCAACTAGTGCCGAGGTCAAGAAAATGTGGATCTGTACGTCCACTCCCCCATATGCCTTGATGGCATAGTGCTTAAGTAGTTAAGCACAGGGACAACTTAACCTTTATTGTATAATTATTAATTTGTAGTTCTCATTACCTTACAACATAGAATGAAGCATCTGAATGAAAGTAGGCATTAGAAGTTCATAAAATCTGTTATTACTGTTCATTTCTTGTAACAGAGGATGCAGCACACTTCTTCAGATTGGCTGTGCGTATGTTATTCCAAACACCTCATGGTGACACATACATGGAGGATGAGTACAGTATTACAGAGAGTATAAAGAAGAGACTGGCTCAGACAAGAACTGAAAAGGAGGTGTACATGTTCAGTGATCTCCTTCGGAAATTACAAACAGAGGTAGGTAACAAGACTGGTCACGGTGTCTTCCTGAACTTTACAATTGTAAAGAAATTAAAGAAAATTCTTTACTATGGTATGTTGTACTTGGAACTGAGACCTCTCCCCCCCCCCCACANTGGAAGCATTTCAAGAAAGTAGGCATTATATGGCCTCTGATATGTCTAATTCACAGGACCTCCCTTCTACTTCGTAGTGAAGCTAAAAATGCCCATTATAATTATAAGGGCTCTAGAAATACAACAGGAAAAACCTAAACATAAAACGTATTTGTCTGTAGTGTCACAGTATACTTCATGCAGATATTATTTCATTTTCATTTCATTTAATTTATTCACCTTCCATAAATCCTGTCGAGAATAGATCCTCATGCGGATGTGGAGATCGTCCTAGTTACAGTCACAAATAAGAATTACAGTTGGCTTCCAGAAGCATACACATTTGTAATAAAATACTCATAAACATATACAATATAATAAATAAGTTAATTTTAGTAATAAAAGTAATGGCAAACCTTAAACAATTTGTACAGTTTTATACAAGTCTATTAATTAAAAATTCAGTAGTTAAAACACAATGTCATTAGTGAGTTTTGTATAACATACATTAATAGTATAATAAATTGAAATAAAGTCTAGTATACAGTTTGTATAAAAATTGTGTATATCTAAAATAAGTAACTAAAAACTAGAACACAGGCTGACAATCTTGACTTCTTTAAATTGTAAGTAAGACAGTTACTCGCATCTTAAAAAGATTTATAACCAAAATATTCCTGTAAAGAATAAAAAGATGTAAATATAAAAATTGTTTTAATTGTACCTTAAAACTAATTGTGTCACTCAATATATCCTTAATATATTGTGGTAGATTATTATAGACCTTTGTTCCTAAACAGTAAACTCTCTTTTGGTATTTACTCAAATTTACAAGAGGCTGATGCAGATTATTTTGCTGTCTGGTATTGATTCTATGAATCTCTGAATTTACTATGAATTTGTTTCTATTTTTTATCACAAAGAGCATAAGAGATAGTATGTACTGAGATGTCAGAGGTAAGATTTCTAATTCTTTAAATAAGTTTCTGCATGAATCCCTCCTTCTGCATCCCAACATAATTCTAATTATATTCTTTTGCATTCTAAAAATTTTTATACTTTGGGTGAGTTACCCAAAAATGGTAAGCCATAATTTATAATAGAATGAAAATAAGAGTGATAAACCATTTTTAAGATATTTATGGATGTATATGGTTTAAGTGATCTTATTATGTAGCAGACTGCACTTAGTTTTGAAGTAATATTTTCAGTGTGATATTTCCAGCTCATTTTATCATCAGTGAATATTCCAAGAAATATAATATTGGATATAGATGTAATTTGTTTTCTTATCATATACAATTTTTATTTCAGATTTAGGATCATTATTTCTAGCTGTAAATTGAATGTAGTGGGTTTTGTTAAAATTTATGGAAAGTTGGTTTACTTTGAACTATTCATTTATACTATGAAAAGCATTGTTTATATTTACACAGAGATCATCATAGTTTGAATTTTTAACTAACAAACTATTATCGTCTGCAAATAATATGGGTACAGTTTTATCATTTATAGTGTAGGGTGAATCGTTTATATAAATGAGAAATAAGAATGGACCCAGAATCGAACCTTGTGGGACACCATGTCTAATTTTGCCCCATGTCGAAAATTAATTAAGATTAAGATTTATATTTGTAATTAAAACCCTTTGATATCTATTTCTGAAATACGATTCAAGCCATAGTTTAGCTTTACCTTTTATCCCATAGAACTCCAATTTTAACAAGAGAACCTCATGATTAACGCAATCGAAAGCCTTTTCGAGGTCACAAAAAATGCCTCCTATTAAGTTTTTGCTGTTTAAGGTCTTACAGATTTCATTCACTAACTTGTATATAGCTTCATCTGTTGAAGATTTTGTTCTAAAACCAAATTGTTCTTCCACTAAAATGTTATTGTTATTTAAGTGCTCAATCAGTTGAATGCTCATAGCATATTCTAATACCTTAGAGAACGAAGTTCTCTATACAGTGGTATAGTGATATAGGCCTATAGTTGGAAATATTTGTTTTATCACCTTTTTTAAACAGCGGTCTTATTTCTGAGTATTTTAAACGATCTGGGAAGATTTCTTGTGATAATGAATTGTTGCATATGCGAGTCAAAGGAGAGCTAATGAAAAAAGAACTCATTCTTAATACTTAGCGGATACTTCATCATATTCATAAGAGTGTTTTGCTTTGAGGGATTTAATTATATTTTCAACTTCCTTAGTTGATAAAGATTTAAGTTTAATATGTGGAAAGGGATTTATAAAAGTTTTCATTAAATACTGAATGGGAGTAGTGTCTGGAAGGTAACTAATATTAGTATTATTTTGTTTATTTTCAGCTACAGATAAAAAGTAATTGTTAAGGTTTCTGCAATTACTTGCTTTTCTCTAACCCATTTTCCGTCCACCTTTAATGTGCATATTTTTTCATTATTTGGCCCCTTATTAGTTTCTAATTTTACTATATCCCATATGGTTTTATTTTAATTTTTGGAATTTTGAATTTTGTTATCGTATTTTATTTTTTAGCTTCCTTAATGGCCTTAGATAAAATTTTACAGTATTTTTTATAATAGTTTCTTAATTCTGAATTTTTAGTGTTTCTACATGCCATATAGAGTACTCTTATGTTTATGGGACATTATTTTACCTATAATAATGCAATCAGTTATTTTATTAATTAATTAATTTATTTATTTATTTTTGGAAAACTGGAGTAGTAAATTTTCAATTAAGTGTCTAAAAAGGAGTTAAACATTGTATTACCATCGTCACTAGAAAATGTTGAGTCCCATGTTTCATAACTTAGTTTAATTAAAAAAATCATTTATTGTGTGTTTATTTTTCTTATTATTTTAAATTGTTTAGCATGTGTTCTCATGTTTATTGTTTTAAATGTTATGGATTGTGCATCATGATGAGACAATCCATTTATTATAGGTCTTATAGAATAATTTTCCCTGCTAGTAATATCAATGAAAATATTATCAATGGCTGTAGCAGAATTTCCTTGAACTCTGATGAGAATATTTACTATACTTTTTAAATTATAAGTTCTCAATAATGTATCTAACTTGCTTTTCTTATCACTATCAAGAAGGTAATTTATATGAATATACCGACAAATAATATATTCTTATGTTGAGGTAGATTTCTAAGTATTGTATCTAGTTTTGTTATGAATGTATCAATGTTTCCATTCGGAGCTCTATATATTATAATTATACAAAGTCTGTTGGAGCTCAGGTTTAACTTAACAGCACATACCTCAAAATCTTTTTCTTTACAATATTTTTTAGGTCTGTATCTACAAATTTCAAGCTTGTGCGTAGATAGATACATACTCCTCTTTTTTCATACAAGGTTCTACAGTAGTTTGCTCCTAGTTTATAAGAATGTATGTTGTAATTCCAAAAAAGTCATGTGATGTTCTGTAAGACATAATATGTCGGGGGAGGCTGGGTGTAGATGACTTAATAGCTCGTTTCTTTCCCCCTTAAACCTCTAATGTTCGGATGGAAAATATTAAAGAATTTGGTTACTCCGTTTAAGGAAATATTTCTTTTTGGAGCACCTTTATTTACCATAAAAAATTCTTGTTTTCATACCTGGTAGTTTTTTGAGTCTATTGGATTTGCGTACTGGTTTCCTATATGTTTGCCAGCTGTCTTCTTTAATTCACTGTGACAAGTGGATGAACATATTTCTGAAAGACTGATAATATTATTTACTGTTAATTGTAATAAGCTGTGTTTACTGTTGGATTTGAATCTCCACGATGAGTATGTAGTTGTTCTTCCCTAGTTGCACATCCTTTTCACAAGGTGCACGAAATGAACATGTTGTGGAGAGGGTGTGTCTACTCTTCACATGTTACAGTGAAACCCCCATATAAGGCTTCTTTTGAAAGTAGTGGATTTGATCACTAAACAATTGAAGTTTTAAATAGAGAGCATTAGCATTGAAGTTACAGACTTAGGATCACAGAAATTGAATGTTAATGAAAGAAAGAAAACATAAAAACATTAATTAAAGTTTCACTGTATACATCTCTAAACCTTCTGGCTGGATTTTGATAACATTTGGTTATGGTGAAAGTTGTTAATTGGGTTTAGTTTTAGTTTGTATTAGTCCAGTGTAACTCTTACTTAACGTGAAGNCATAAAATATAGAATCTTTCTTAAGATCAACTTTGAACCTTATTTTTGTCCATAACTGAAGTGGTCAACAACTTTTGAGTGAAAATGCTTTGACACTATGAATATTAAAATATGCTGGACAGTATTTGAGACTCTGCGCAGTGTAACTGTCTTTTTATTAATAGATTTATATGCAGTAAATGAATATAAAGGCCAGTGAGAAATGCTGAAGTGCAAAGAAGACATCTTAAAAATATGTGTACTATGAATTTGAGTACATTTTCCACTCATGTATGAGGTATAGAAAATTGTAACAGACAATAACCAGTTTGAATTTCCAGACTAAAATTAAATAATGCTTTAATGAGGGCAAATATATGAGATGGAATGAAGCAAAATGGAAAAAAGAAATCCTATGAGCTTTTATCTACTTTTGGAGTATGTGACCAACACACTGGACTACAGATGCAGGGAGGATATTTGAGAACTTGCCACAAATAGTTTGGCCAGACCAGTGGAGTAGAGGCAGGCTCTTTGTGTCAACTTTTTTCCATGTACTTCCAGACATGCAGCATAATTGACAAGCCCACAGGCCAACAGATCATGAACAAAACCCATGTTCTTGTTAGAATGAACAGTTGGAACAGAAGTTTAATGTTATTTCTGTTTCAGACTGTGCTAAAGAATTACCGAGCCATATTGTCATTTCTAATGCATGTCAGTAACACGCCACAGATAAGTCACAAATCTTCGTCATCACCATTGAGGGCAGGATTGAATACCTCAGAGTCAGACTCAGCAGTAAGTATTACATGGTGCCTCCTGCTTTTATGTTCTCAGTTGTGAACAGTCTGTCTGTTCTGGAGAGAAGATTAAATATTCATGATCCTGAAAATTCATATTTATTATTGTTTAATTTCAAAAGAAAATGTGTTTCACCATCCATGATACCTAAGAAAAGCGTACCAAAACATAAGCTATAGTTATATTTTCCATGCAGTACGAGTATACATCTTACAGAAAGAAGCAAGTCTTCTAAGTCATAAGCCTATATGCTGTTTATATGCATTCAAATACATTGCAATTAAAGTGCTGTTACTTGAGCATGTATCATTTCACTTTCCATTTCTCAATGAAGAGATATCTACCAGCCTAAATTTGTATATACATATTTTGAAAAGGAATGTACTACATATTTGTTACTTGTTCTTTCACTTTTGCTGTGTAAGCCATTTTTTTATGTCAGAAAATGTCCAAGTACTTTGAGACATAACTGTAAAAGCTACTGGGAACTTAAGAGAAAAATCATCTTCTATCATAAATGTGTTATTATTTAAGACATCTTATCTTTGTCAGAATGTTCTTTGAAACCATCTTTTTGAGTTGCATGTTTCAGAATCTATCCCTCAGTCCCAGTTTTATCATGACAGATGCTAGGAGACCAGTTTTAGTGAATCTTGATCCAAATTGCATGCCGTTGGAAGCTATCCCATCTTGATGTCAGCTGTACCGTTGTGTAGTCAGTGTGAACTTGTGATGGGATTGTAGTGCTTTCCAGTGTGAGTTCTGACATTTTGTTTGCAGACAGCTGTACAAGTATGAAAGGTTGTTGTTGTTGTTGTTGTTGTTGTTGTTTTAAAAAGAAGGGAATGGAAAATAACAAAAAGGGTGACCATATTGATTCGATAACTGTAATTGGCAAAACATTATAAATCTTCATATAGGATATATAGTGTCATGATGTGTATCTTGATTTGCTGTGTTGTGTTGGTTACAAATTCTGTAAAGTGTCACAGGTTTGAATTTAGACAGCATAATATTTCATTTTTTTAATTATTAGTTATATGAAAAGAGAGACTTGGATAAAAAGTTAAATTAGGAATCGTATTACGGAAAATATATAGTAATTCTCCTTCTTTTCCTCATTGACATATTCTTAAAGCATGAGCCAAAATATGATGTATCACGTGACATGCAAGTGGGATATTAATAAAATGTATATGCATGTTTTATGACTTTATTTGATACGTAACATGCAATTTCCGTTTGTAAGCACCAGTTTCGGTATAAGAAGCTGTCTGCCATGCAAGCATACAGGGCACATGTTCTTAACTTTGATACTGCGCAGAAGTGAGTGGCTAGTTTCACACTTTGGCTACATTGAACCATGTGGGAGAGCATTTTGTGGGTCTCAGAACCATTCTAAATATGTTTATGAAGAAGAAACTGCCAACACCTATGTTGGGAATCAAATCCCACCTGTATACCGGTTACTTTATTTACAGAGGTAACCTGGTTCCCATTGATATTAAAAATTATACAGATTTTTAGAACACTTAGAAAGTATTTGCTTACTTACATTTGTCCTGTGCTACAAATGCCTGTTCTTCTGTGCTATGTTTTTGAAAGTACAGTGGAACCTCGCTTAACGAGCACATCTCATAACAAGTAATTCGCATAACAAGCAAAATAAATTGTAAAAAAATGACTCGCATAATGAGTGACGAGGGGAAGTCCCGGATTGTGTGCTTGCTACATGTTCAAGCCTTTCTGCATAAGGAGTTAGTATTGGATAGGAAGAAGGGCCCAGTTTCCTGGCCCTCTCATTCTCCACATCCAGATGCAAGTGAAAAATGCAAGGTGTGTGATAAAATTGTTACAGCTGCAGAATGTGTTACATATGAAATGCTTGCCAGTACCTGCAAGAAGCTGAATATTGCCTTGAAGTGCATCATGCTGCTAATGGTGCCCATATTGCAATCTTTTGAGCACATAAGAAACTTGGTGACATGCAGTATTTGAAGATGCATCAGTTTCTCTGATATACAAGTGCTTAGTGTAATAATTTGAAAACTACTTTACACTGGTGTTATTCATAAAACAGTTTCATTTATTACTTTTCAAAAGACATGTTAATGTTTTTCAGGAAACCATTCAACCAACTTTCTTTGGTCTTCCAAGGCTATCATCATCCTCACTTTCTTTATCAGAGGCAGCTTCTGGTGTACCTATTCATGTGATATTGAGTAGTGGCACAGGTAAATAAAACTCTACCATTTGTGACCTTGGTTTTTAATTGGCTATAATTAAGAAGGTATTCACTAATGGAAATTATGTTTAACAGGTTGTACTATGAAGTGTGAAAACTTGATTGTGTAATAGTAATTGATTTCATTTTGTTTTGTATTTTATTTGGACCAATCATGATTAATGATAGTGATTAAGGACTAAAAATTTAAAAAGAAATTGCTTATAAATTGACATTGCTGTTAGAATTGTGAAGTCCTAAATGTGTGAACCAAGAAAAATAAAATAAAATTGGTGCAAATGCGTGAAGTGACTGATAGTGCGCTGGTGTAGAGAACACAGTTGCTTGTCATATCTGTTATTCATAAATGTTATATTAACTACTGAGTTGTATCCTGGAGCACTATATACTGAATATGACAATTGTTCTCAGCAGTTAACAATAATAAATTCTGCGAATAATTCTTCAAGAAGTGTAATGAAACATTAAATTGTTTTATCTATTTAACTACATAACTCCATGGAGTAGAATCCTTGAGAAGCTAGTAGTCACTCAGTTTGTTAAGATATTCCCCACCTTTTATGGTATATGAAGTTCATTACCATGTTCACAAGAGACCGCTACTGAACTCTCCCAAACCAGATGGACTTCATTCTGCACCCTTGAAGTGCAGAACTGAATTCACGCTTGTTAAACCGTGTTACAAGAAGTAAACATTATTTTTGTTTGCTTTACAATGGTACTTGTATGCCTCTCATGCACTTCCCAGATCAAGATTGGCATAAAGACGATGGTGGAGTGGAATGCAGTAGTCAGAGCCAGCAGTCAACATTGCACCAGAGTTCTGGATGCCATGTTCCTCCTAATGCTAGCCTCAACAAATCAGGTAAGTAAATATATATAAAGATGAACACGGAGTCATGAGTTCTGCTTGCCTCTTGATTCTTGATGACTCTTGCTTTGCTTCCTCTTCAACTCTGTAGATGGTGGCAGTAGTTTTCCGAAACATCAATGAAGTTTTACTGAATGGCATGGTGTCACATCTCAGAAGATGATCCCCTTCCTAGTCACCACTGAGAGAACCTTGAATTCAGTTTCATTAAAATAATTTTTGAATATGAACATGGTAATTAAAATGTAATGACTGGTATATTGATTCAGTTGTTCTTAAAATTTGTTGTAATGTACCTGGATGGCCTAAATTACCCTATTGTATGTTGCAAAACCATTGCCATAAGATTAGTAGTGTACCTTTAATGTCAGAAATTTTGTACTGATATGAACCTCATGTGTCTATGTCAAGGCTAATATTGTATTAATGTTTGCTATACTGTATAGTAATGTCATTTTCATAATTCAGTTTCCAGTGAAGTACCAGAGTCACAGCTTCTGCAGGAGTTAATATATTCATTTCAAGGAATAAATGGCAAGTTTCTCAAATTAAGCCCAGTGAGTCAGGGCTACATACTTGATCCCAAGGTATGCTGACAAATAAAAGTGTTGTTGTTGTTGTTACAGTGACGATGACAGTGTGTGACATAGTGTGGGTTCTGGCCTTGAAACTAAGTTTCTCTGAATTTCCTCTGTTCTCCCACAGTATTTGTTTCTCTGTTGCTTTTACCTTTTTGATTGTACCACAGCAGAGTTCTGTATTTGGTTTTGGGATGTTGAAAACTCAACATGACTGTTATTGTTCCATTTAACTGCCAACTGTTTTAGTTTTTCACTTTTTTTTTTATAGAAATTTTTAAACAGAGACATTCCTTGGTTTATTACCAATACTAATTGCTGAATTTGCTGTTAAAACCATGACTCTTAATTGCCAGTCATGTAAACATGTTATGTGACAATGTAAATAAAACACACATGAATAANTGTAAATAAAACTGTTTAAAAAATCTCAGTACCAAAGGCAATTTCTGTCATAGTGGTTGGAGATTTTGTGTTGTTAATTATGATGGAGTTTTGTTTCCTGGGGTGGCATTCGTGAAAATAACTGACAGTGAAATATATTAGCAGATTAGTAACCATAAACATGTACTGTGCATTGTAGGTACGAGTGAAGCGGTCTGTTCGTCGGTTTGTTCTGCGGCTGGCTGAGCTGGGTTGGTTGCATAACCAAGTCAGACAACACTGTGAAAATGCTGCAGCTTCCAGAACTCTGGGTCTCATTGGTCAAAGTCTTATTGCAGCCTTAAGAGCAGAATTGACTGAATATTACCGCCTGGTTGCCATTTTGCAGTCACAGGTTAGGTTTTGCTTTGTACATAGAGTATATGTCAGTGTTTACATTTAATAGTATTGTGGCATGTATACCTGTTGCTAGGCCACGACTGCAAACTAAGCAACTATACAATAGCCATCGCTAGGCAACGGATCTGCAGACAGACATGAACACTACAATTCCAGTGCAACAGAGGAACGGTGTTCTCAACACAGTCCATACCGAGATGTTATAAGCAGGACAAGTTAGGAGGTAGTCAGTCAGTGAGTTAAGGTGGTTGGCGATTTAGTGAGTTGAGTATGAGTATTAGGGATGAGCCATAAAACTGGCCCTCACACTGCGACCTTCAATGATCTATTGTGCTTGATTTAGTGAGTTAGATAATCACTGGGGTTCAGTTGTTGTGAGCAGTTGCTGTAAGAAGCTGGTACCTGAGGCTGTGGACAGTTCAGGGACCCAAGGGAAGGGGAATTTCAACCATTGGAAGCTGCTTCTAATTAACAGCTAGTGGGGACACACACTGAGAGCACTAGTCTGTGTGTGACAGTGATTTGTAAAGTGTTGTCATGTGCTGTATCAAAGTGTGCAGTAAAACCAGTCATCAGTTCAAAACCCATCTATAGTCACACCAAATCATGTGACAATGTTGTGATTATAAGGGACTATTAATGTAATCAGGGATGGCTAATTTATTGCCATGGACTACATTTGGCCCACCAGTTGGTTTTGTGTTGCATGGGACGCTACCCTTCCATTCCATTTCTCGCATAGTATGTGTTAATGCTTTCCTTTAAAGAAAAAGCCCAGGATCTTGTCAGATGTTGCATATGTGGAAGTGAGAGTACTTTCATAATTGTGTAATGTATTTTTTATTCTTTGGACATCTTAAATATTCTTTCCAAGCTGTGGACCAGCTCGCAACCAACGCATAGACTAAACAAATATGTGTGTGGTCTCCTCCCCTTCCACACATGTGAGAAGGACAGAACCCAGACTGACTGGAGTGCAAGGGCAGAATGGAGGTTGGAGGTGAAGGCGAAACACAGAGTCGGATTTGAGTTGTCGCAAGGGCTAGATGAGCAGGACTGTGGCCTCACCCCTCGTAGGGAATATTTAAAGTGCCCACCTAATTCTACTTCATCAGGCATTCATTATGCTTACAATATAGCACTGTTAAATCCAATTGCTTGTTGTCTGTTCATTTAATCCCACCCCCGTACATCAAATCGCTGACCACTTGGTGAACCTGAGTATCCCTGAAATACTGGGATACGACACAGAGAAACTTTATAAAAATTACTTGTTGAATACTGTGTGTAATTTTTCACTGGATATCATACTCCTCCTAATGAATGAGAAAAGTGTGGAATTAGTATGTCTGCAATTGCATGCGGTATTGATACAATGTAGCAAACCTGCAGTGAGTAATTCTTAAACAGTCTGCATGGCTGACATTTTGCATTGGTATGCTTGGAAAAAATATACTTTTATAATGTGGCCTGCAGGCCGGTGGTTAAGATGTGATTTGAAGTTTCAGAGCTCTGTTGTAGATATGTGTTGTTTGAATATTTGGGATATTGTAGGATTAATGTAATTATTTCAGTTCATTTTTTTTTTCTAACCACTGACTTCATACAGTAATTACTGTGAGTTGTGCTTTAAAGGTTAATTTGGGTAATGTTACAAATACAGTTGACCATTTTGCAAAACTAATTCACACATTTCTTTAATATCTGTGCCATATTAACAATTTTAATCTTCTGATTACATTNATTTGGAGTCATGAGATGAAGACATTTCTGTAGAATCCAAATGAAGTTCTTTTATTTGCTTTTATTTATTTAATATCTGTGCCATATTAACAATTTTAATCTTCTGATTACATTATTCAGAGATGTTCGTGTATAGCTCTGATTAAATTCTTCAGATCAAGCAACAAATAGACACATCTGTGGACTCCCCTCTGTGTGAAGAGCAGCCATTATGGCACACAGAAGGACTTACACTATGCAGACTGGCTGTGTGGACCTTTGAACCACAAAGGCATATGAAATGTCTGGCTGCAGTGGCTGAAGCATGTAAGAATAAGAGAGGAGGAGCACTGGCATCTTGCGTTCATGGTTTCTTGCAACATGGAGATCCTGTTACCCGGGATACGGTGAAAAGTTTGCTAAGAGCTGTAAGTTTCTGTACACATCTTGTAAATTTTATCATTATTTTATTGATTAGTTTTTTAAACTAAGAAAATTGACTGAAGCAGTAATGCTTCTGACTTGTATTCACTAGGTGCCCTCTTCAAGTCTTGCCCAGGGAACCAGCTATCCTGACAGTTTTTGTATTGTTTTCCTCAGTTGCTCCAGGCAGATGCTAGCATTGTACCTTGATTAATTCATGGCAGCTTTCTTCCAGACCCTTTTCAATTCATTACTCACCAGTTGTCCTACCGTTCAGCACTCTGTAGTCTGAGTTACTGATAGCATGCATAAAAATAGGCTACAAAAACAAAAAAGCTGCAATTGTTTGAGTATTTATTCAGATATTCAAAAGAAAGTAACCCATATAAATTTATATTTCAGTTAAATATATATTTGTGTACATATGTATGTGTATGTATGTATAAATTAAGGTGCGAGGTAGTTTTATTTATTATCAAGAATAAGAGGCTTTAGTGATCTTCATGTGTGTTCTAAAAGCTATTGCTTATTGTTTGGTAAGCTTCACATGTTTAAAAGATCGTTGTTGATTGATGAATATAGAAGCTAGAAACTGTACTCATAGTGTAGCAATTGCTGTTTTATTGTCTCTGAGATGGTAATAATAACTGGAAGAAGCATATTTTTCTTTACAGCTTTTGCTCAAAGTATTTTTTGCTCCACTAATGTTTAACAGGTTACATGTGAGAAACGTTCAGAAATGTGTGTAGGTCATGTTATAAAATCTCCATTATTTTTGTCATTAACCAAAATTGAAAATGTTGACAGGTTTGAATAAACACTGCAATATTAGATTTAATGGAAATCCAGTCAATGTTTTTTGGATTGTTTCATGGGTACAAATAGACAGACACTTCAATTTTAATAGGTTTTTGACAGGTTTGCAAACACACAGAAAAACTAGGTTGTGTGAATTATGCCCACAAATATGACATTTTAACAACACTGATGAAGGAAATTAGTGAATTATAGTTCATCCACTTCATTTATTGTAGGTGTGTAAACCAATGTACATAATGTTGAGTCGCTGGATTCTTGATGGGGAGCTGGAGGATCCATATGGTGAATTTTTCATTGCTGCTGACCTAGATGTGAAGGGCAACCTTCTGTGGCATGAAAAATACCGTGTGCTGTGAGTTATTTCTTAGTACACTTTTCTTCTGCATGCACAGGCATGTGTTTCGTTTTCCTCAAATGTGTAATTTCATGTAATGTTAACAAACATGAAGCGCCATATGTTGTTCAATGTCTTGCAGCTGGAAAATGTAATTTGTGTGGAGGATCAAGAAAATTGCAAATGAAGGATTCTGTAATTTGTACTGTTCAGCGTATATTACTAAGATGACAGAATGAAGGAGGATGTGTTGGGTGGGTTATGTAGCATGCATTGAGAAAACATGAAGGGATAAGGCCTCTTGTGAGACATAAGCATGGGATGGGAGGACAACATTAAAATGGATATGGTGGTAATAAATTATGAAGACATGTTCTGCATTCAGTTGGCTTGGGATAGAATCTAGTGGTGAGCTCTTGCCATTGTGGTAATGGGTCTCTGACTTCCATAATAGTGAGGGAATTTCTTGACTAGCTGAACTGCTATCATCTTCTCAAGAAGGACTTTTCTTTATTTAGTTACTGGTAGTTATGAATAAAGACACAGTGCTTTAGTAGGTTCAGTTACCAATGTGTCACAATATTTTTACTGTTCCCATCTTCAAGCTGGAGTTTCATCAGGATAAAGTTCTCCCTCTAATGGCTGTAGAGGCTCATAGGGTTTTGAGATGTCGAGGCTGCCACATTTTCTAGACAGTCGATTCACAGATGGCTGTGAAGTTGTCAGCCTTACGCAGTGATACCTATGTTGTTGTGGTATAAGATACATTTTCTTTAAAACATTAATACTCCCAAGTCTGGAATCAAAGTTATGGTCAAACCAGACAGTGCTTAGATAGACTTGAAAGGATTCTGACGATGGTGTATACTGTACTTCTTTGGGCTTATTTTGGACTTCACCCATCGTCTGGTATGTAAAAGACAGAAGACCACGACGTTTCAGAGACAGGATCTGTCTCTGAAACGTCGTNCACGCGCTTGAATGTACTAGTGGTGAGTTTAATTTTTAACTTTCTTTTCAGTATATGTCTTACACATTTCAGCATTGCTCAACTGTTTGATTTGTACCTAATGCTTTTATTGATTGCAGTGGAAGCTCTGTTCATGGCTGATCGTGAAGGAGATCTCCAGTCGATGATGGACTCAGCATACCTTGAAACTTCACGCCGTGTATTAGATGTTTTGACAGGGCAATACAAGTTCCTAGACCATCTACAGGCATTGAGACGTTATCTTCTTCTTGGACAAGGAGACTTTATTCGTCATCTGATGGAGCTCTTAGAGTTAGTACCATATGCTTTTCACAAGCGTCATAGTGTTTTTATTGCTTCAAAACAAATTTAGAACTTCAGAAATAGAATAAAGCTGTGCATCTGTTAGAAATTTTAATTAGACTTGCTTTTTAATGTTTCAATATTTTTATTTTTTATTATTGCTCATATAACATACATTTCTACTTGGGATAGTTAATTTGGTATGGCAGTGGGTTATGGGCTGGACAGCTAGTGTTTGACTCCCGGCTGAAGGAAGATTTTTCACTTCTCTGTGGCATCCAGACTGGCTGTGGAGCCCACCCAGCCTCCTACCCAGTAGGTACAGGGGTGTGGAACTGACTATTCACCTTCATCTAGTGCTGAGGTCAAGAATGGTGGAGCTATACCTCCACTCCCATCATGTGTCTTCATGGCATAGTGCTTTATTAGTCAAGCATAGAGACAACTTTATCTGTTTATGTGGTCTGTTCAAAAAGTTTCTTAAGTATTTTTATAATTTTTTTCAAATAGGCCTGCAACTATATGAGCTCATCACTTTCAGAGTACTCCCCTCCTGCATTGATGCACCGCTTCCAGTGCCTTTGCCACTTTCAGAAACAGTCCTGGTAGACCTTTTTCAGGATCGTGCATAGCTCTGTCTGCAAATTTTCCATAATCTCTTGGATCGTCTGAAATGGTCATCCTTTCAAAGCGAATTTCAGCTTGGGAAATAAGAAAAAGTCTGCCGGAACCAGGTTGGATTAGTAGGGTGCAGTTGTGTTCATGTTGGCCCAGAAGTCTTCAGTCAATAGAGATGCATGAGCTGGCACATTGTCATGGTGGAGGAACCAGGAGTTGTTTCTCCACAACTGAGGTATTTTTCTCCTGACATTTTCTCCCAGATGTTTCAACACTTCGAGGTAATACTAGCAATTCACAGTTTGCCCCTAATATAAGAATTCATGATGCACAACACCCTTGATGTCAAAAAAACCGTCAGCTTGACTTTCACTTTCGACCTGACCCTCCACACCTTTTTTGGTCTTGGCAAATTTTTTCAAACCCATTGTGAAGACTTCATTTTTGTTTCCACGTCATATCCATAAACCCACATTTCATCGCCGGCTGTAATTCTTTTCAGAAAGTTTTCATCCTTGCTAGTGCAATCCAGAAGTTCCTGACAGATGGCAACGCAATTGTCTCTCTGATCCTGTGTCAGAATTTGTGGGACAAACTTTGAAACTATCTAATGCATTTCAAAATTTGTCATAAGAATGTCCTGACATGATCCTTTTGTTATGTTGCACTCTTCTGCTATTTCCTGCACTGTCAAATGATGATTAGAACACATGATTTCATGAACTTGTGCAACATGAGTGTTGTCACATGATGTTGAGGGCCATCCCAAATGCATCTCATCATGTGTTGCCTGCCAACCATCCTTACATCGCTTAAACCATTCATAACAACGTCTATGGTTCATGCACTGATCACCATAAACGTTTTCCCTAGTTTGAAGAAAAATTTAATGTTATTACTCTGCTCAGGAATATCAGCAATCTCGAATATTGCAAGACACACTCTGCACGCATGTGAACAAATAGTTCTAGGGTGATGACTATCCACAGCAGGCTGATGTTACAAAAAGGATGATAATTAGGCAGCACAACTTACCCGACAATGCTAAGACAGCAAGTTGGCTTGCTATTTCAAAGGTTCCAAAGCTTTTTGAACAGACCATGTACATGTACATTCATTATGGCTGAATGTTGAAGTTGAGTGGTTACCACTGCAGTCTTGTATTTGGGAAGTTCTGGGCTTGGTTCATGGTATGAAATTCAGTAGCCTTAAGCTTCTTTCCTTTTGAGAAAATGCTGGGGTATCTAAAAATTGGCTATAACTTCTTCTTTAAATGACCTTCCCAATTTATTATTCACAGTTATCCTTATATTGAACATGCATGACTGAACAGTCTGATGTAGTGATGCTCTAGACTTGTATTTGGAAGGTGTCTGGTTTGAATCTCAGCCAGGACATTTGTTAGACTGGCTGAGATTTTTGATGCTTTTCCCTAAGTTCTTCCAGGTAAATTCCAGGGTTGTACCTTAGTTGTACTAATCTGCTTCCTTACAAAACCTTTTCCAGTTCATTCACAAGCTATTCTACCAATCTGCTCTGTATAATCTTCATGCAGCATTATAAAATAAAGCACAGAAATACAGTATATGATGTATGATTGATTCCTTTATACTCAGCAAGTTGTGAATTTGATTCTAATCCCATAAGCCAGTTATCCTGACTCACATTATTTACAATATGGTACTCATATTGTATACATTAAGAAAGCATCCTTAAATAAACAAAGAATTAGCAATTGTACCTTCAGTTTCTTTGACAGATACTACACACTTCTTTGTAATATTTGGCTGGCTAAGTATTGTCACTGTACACTGAATAGATGCAAGATTTCTGTTAATTCTTGTTGCTGAGATCATAGAAGGCAGCACACACTGTCAAAGAAATTCTGAGAAATTATATATATACAGTGGTTCTCTGTTGACATTATATTTGCCATTCACATTTAGCCATAGTACCAAAAGGTACACTCTGAAATAATAGAGGACATTCCATCCTGTATTGTGTATTCTGCATATAATTGTTTGTTGTTGCTGTAGGCCTCAGTTGATCAAACCAGCCACACAGCTCTACCCACACAATCTTTCTAGTATATTAGAATCAGCAATAAGGGCAACCAATGCTCAATTTGAAGATGCAGATATCTTGAACCGACTTGATGTTCGATTGCTGGAGCAGTCCCCTGGTGATACTGGTTGGGATGTGTTCACTTTGGATTATCATATAGATGGACCTATTGGGACGGTAAGCTTACATGTATTTTTTTATTTGTGAACTTTTTAATCAGTATGTAAGCCTTGCATGTCTTAATGAGTTTCCTGTTTGCCATTTTTAGATCTTTGCTCGAAACTCTACGGCATATTTAATGCTCTTCAACTCTTTATGGCGAGCTAAACGTATGGAATGGATCTTGTCAGTCATGTGGAAGCGACAGATCACATCTGCCAAATTACTGCGAAAACTTCCAGGTAAATACTTCAGTTTATATAAACAGAAGTGGAGAGAATATATATATACAGGGTGTCCCAGGAGGAATGGACCAAACTTCGGGAGGGTGTTCCTTATGTTAAA